GGCCATCTGAGTTAAAAAAATAAGTTAGGGACCAAAACCATAAATTCTCCCAAACCAGAAGCACCATTTGTGTAATTTATTTTTACTTTTCATTAACTATTTTTTTTTTACACATCTAGTTAACTTGTTGAAAGTGATCACATCTAGGATTTAACGTGTTATAGCAAGTCATAATGTTCATATGTAAACACTTCCAATAAGTTTGTTACTTAGATGTGTAAAAAAAAAATAGTTACCTAGATATGAATATACCGTAAAATTAATTACTTCAACAAGTCATTTTCCCAAGTTTTTATATTTACATATTTTACATTAAACTTCAGATTTTAGGTAACCACATCAACCATTTATGATGTTTTTTCTTTTTGGCCATTACCTTTATACCTAATTGTTTGAATTCAAATTTTAATTTTATATACTTTTTGTAGTTCACTTTGAAAAAATAATCTCCTCACGTGATTATTAAATACAGGTTAATATGTCGTTCTTAATGAAAAAATAAGTATCCTTATACATTTCGTTTTTACTTATTTTCTACTTCTATATGCAATAATGATATATGGTCATCACTAATTCTCTTTTTTAATCGTGTTGTTTGATTTTAACACTTTTTTTTTTTTTTTTTTTTTTTTTTTTTTTCATCTAGCTAGGGAAAGGTTAGTAAGAAAAAAAAAAGTAAAAAGATATTTGATTTCTTAATAATTAACAAATCTTATAATAGTCTCTCACCAATTTTATTTAGATAATAATAATATAGCGGGCAGTTAGCTATTTGTCCAAAAAGTAAACAAAATTAGTCAAATTTCCTAATATTATAATATTTTCAAAGTTTTTTTACTTTTAACTTTTTTTCCGCTAAAATAGAAAAAGAGGGTTGAAAGTTGAAACGTATACTCTAGAATTGATAGTGTTCATTACTTGATGTATTTAATCGTTTGATCTTATAACACGTTACTGGGCTTGTTTCAAAAAACAACCCTTCCTTTTTGACAAAATTACAATAATATTCCATAAAATACATTTGTATTTGATGAAATTACATAAAGCATCCTTTGACTCCCTAAGCATTTCACGAGCTCCAGAAGTTGTGTGTCTGAAAGCAAAATTACAGAAAAAGTAACTCAAAGTTAAAAAAGAAAAAATTCAAAAATTACCAAAATAACAATAATTCCGCAAACTATCTAAAAAGTGAGATTTTCGAAGGTGGCCACATAACCACAATTTTTACAATTGATAATTGCTAAAAAGTGATATTTTCATCTGCATTTACTTTTGAAAATCTTGTTTTCTGCTCACTTGGAACATTCATAACATTTTATACCAACTTTATTTGAGTTGATTTTTTTTCATTGTGTTTGTTGTAATAAGGGCTATCGATAGATATCTCACACTCTACATTTAGATGTCAAGACGTCATAATTTAGCTCTAAAGTAGGATACTAAGTGAAAAAACAAATGAAAAATAACAATACTTTGAAAATTCATAACTTTCGCATATAAAATCCATCTGAGTTAATAAGATTTATCTATGGACATGCTACACTTAATATTTGGACATTATAAAATTGTACTTGTTGGATTTTGAAGTTTTCCAAATATCACGGTTATCATGAATTAACAATTTGACTATAAATCTAGACATTCTAACTATGGATTTAGACACTTTGACTATAAAATCCATAAATTTATTTTGAATTGTTCTATATAAGTTTTTAGGTTTTTTGAGATGCCGTTAATACCCTACCCACCACTGTCATCAATCCTCTATATATAACGTAAAACACTAAAATCATAACGATTTCATACTATTGTACCACACCTCATTTGTATATAGGTATTTCACATAATGGTAAGAAATGTTAATATGTATCTTAAAAAAAAATCATATGCTTAATTTTATTTTATTAAACCATAACGTTATTTTAAAATATAAGTTTTTATTCATGTCCTCAAGATCTAGTGCTCGATACCAAAAAAAAATGAAAATAACATGAATCACCTTAATGTTAGACAGTTGGATCTTGTTGATACCAGTAACCATTATAGTTTATTCATGAATATATTTGTATGGAAGAGCAATAGTTAGAGTTCGGAAGTCGATGCACATAAAAACTTAGCATATACAACATGCAAATGCTCGTATTTAAAATGGTTGAATATATACAAATTTTTATCAACTCAATCGAAAGCACCATACAATCACGTGGGCCCATTGCCAATCATTCAAAGCGTTTTCGTACATCTTACATACTTATAAAGCTAACATTTTTTCTTAAATCTCATTCATTTGAAACCCCTATTCTTTTTTCCTTTCACCACATTCATTTGAAACTTCCATTACTTTTCAATTTTTGTATAATAATAATTATTATTATTATAATTTGGTAATTAGGTTTAAATAAATATCAAACCTAAAGTATAATCATATATAAACTAAATTTCAATATTAAAATAATATCTTTACTTCTACTTATAAAATTATGTTTTTTTATTAAAATAATATATTTACTTCTACTTATAAATGATGCATTTTTCCTTTCACTACATTCATTTGAAACTCACATGCATTTCTCCTTTCTCCACATTCATTTGAAACTTACTTGACTTTTCAGTTTTTTCTACTAATAAATATAAGTTGGTTAATAAGGTTAAATAAATATCAAACCTAAAGTGTAATCATGTATAAATTAAATTTCAATATTAAAATAATATCTTTTCTTCTACTTATAAAGTTATGTTTTTTTAACTTTTAACATATTATAGTTAATTTATTAGCTTTAATATATTGTTGGATGTAAACCATTATCATTTTAAAGATACAATTTTGGAACAATTTGTATAATATCCTTACATTATTAATTTAAATATAATATTATAGGATCAACTTAAATATAAATTTTAGTTTAACTTAAACAACCCAAAAAATATTTTGTAAATAGTTAAAAATGATAAATTGTAGTGTCTTTCTAATAATAATTATAAGTTGGTTATTAAGGTTAAATAAATATCAAACCTAAAGTGTAATCATAAATAAACTAAATTTTAATTTTAAAATAATATCTTTACCTATACTTATAAACTTATGTTTTTAAGTATTAACATATTATACTTAATTTAATAGATTTAAAATGTTGTTATGTGTAAACCATTATCAGTTTAAAGCTACAATTTTTGAACAGTTTGAACAAAATACTTAAATTGTTAATTTAAATATAAAATTACAGTGTCAACTTAAATATAAATTTCAGTTCCACTTAAAAAACCAAAGAATATTTTGTAAATAGTTAAAAGTGATAAATTGTAGTGATAAATGCAAAAATTAAATTGTAATATCAATTTAATTAAAATATTTCCTAAAGATATTTTTATAATCGTGAAAAATTTTCAAATAAGTAGTTTAAAATAATTTACAATAAAAATAGTGAAAAATAAATCTATATAAATAATTATATTATTACCTTTAAAATAAAAAAACAATGTTTGATATTTTAACAAGTTATAATGATAGAAATTAAAATATTAAGCAAATAAATTTTAAAAATTAATTATTAATAACAACAACTATAAATAACATTAAATCAGATATTATATTTAAATTTATTCATGAGTAACTCGCTGATAGAAGTCATACAAACGATTAAGATTATGCAGTTATAATAGATTTATATATTATCATATAATTCAAAATAATCTATATATTACATCAATTTAGTATACAAATTATTATATCAAAATTAACAATAACGTTATTGTTATATTTAAAAAAAAACTTATATTTGTAAAGACTTCAACTATATAGGTGTTTCTGCGCAACGTGCGGATATTCACCTAGTTTGAAATAATTGAAACCTACATGACTTGTTTACATAGTTCCACCTTATGCAAGTCGAACGTACACAGGTGCATCACATATATAGATAATGTAATGTCATATTAAGCGAGAATATGTGACGTTTGTGCTCTTTTTGGTGGGTATGTTGATTTGTTTAATAAAAGTAGATATGATATAACATTCAACTCGCTTAAATTAAAAGAAATTAAATTTCTTCTAAATGACAAATCAAAAAAATAAATTATTCCATAAATTGAAGAGGGCCAAACGATCATCTTCTCAGTTGGTATTTCTCATTGAGATGTGCGGCGGTAGAAGATGCATCGTTGTTGTTGGGTATGCAACTCAATACACTGTATAAGTTCTATATATATATGAAAAAAGTTATGACTATTGGAAAAAAATTAACCTTCACAATGTCTTTATCACATTCCCACAAGGTATACTACAACTTTGTCATTAATCACACGTACGAGTGATGGCATCGATATCTACGATACAACTCCTTTCAAAATCGTGTACATCAAAGATATTATCATGTCTTTGTGTTGACTCCTATGTTACAAGCTTCTTTATCTTCCCTCACATGCATCGTTGTTGCATAAGGTGTGAGTGCACCAAACATCCCCTTGCATAATAATATTATAATTAGCGGAAAAATCCAGGCTTCGTCCTGGGCTGTTTTTTGTGTTTTTATGAAAAAATGTGAAAATTTTCACTGTAAGTAACAAAAGTGTCAAAATGGCTAAAATATTAAAGGGGTTGGAATTAGCAAATTTTTAGAAAAGGGACCAAAGTTATCAATTCCTTAAATGTTACATTTTTAACGACAAAAATAATACACAAAATAGTACTCTAAATTGATTATTTTTTAATTTTTATTTTTGTAAAGTGAACATCCCTAACGTGGATTTCCAAACCAATTTTTACATACCGACTAATCTAATATTCAAATATTACGAAAATAAGGTAATTTTTTATGTCTTAAAGTAACTACAAATGAACTTACGTAGTAGTCAAAAGGGTTGAGACCAGAAGGAGTGGAGTACGGTTTCAGCCTACGTGGTATGTGAAACAACAGTGAACACCACCCCCTTCAAGTTCTTAGGGTCTGATTCGTAACCAGTATAATTAGGTGATGTTGATAGATAGATGGAGGCGGTGGCAAATGCTGATGGTGGCAGCAGAGAGACGTTCAATCGCTAACATATTGTTGGTGTTATCTCCTGTGTGGGCAATAGAAGCTCAGAGGAAAAAACACCACGTAGATGGTAGCTTTGGACCTGAACGAACGTGGAGTAGGTTCAAAGCGGTGGAATGAATAAATGGATCAGAAAAGAATGACAGTGCAAAAGAATCGAGAAGAAATGACCGACTCAATACAAATAACATAAAAAGGGACAAAATTGCAACTTCAAGAAAAAACCGGGCAATTCCACCGATATGTATTGAACTTTATTTAGTTAAAAAAATCCAAAATGGTTAATAGGCAAAATAGAATGACCAATTATGTCAAACCCTTTAGTTAAAAAAAAAAAATTCCAACATCGTTAATAGACAAAATAGAAGGACCAATTATGTCAAACCCTTAGCAACTTTACTGTTCCTAAGATAACCTAAAGTTTATATATATATATATATATATATATATATATATATATATATATATATATATATATATATATATATATATATATATATATATAGGATATAGATCCGGTAAGAAATTTTTTTGGTAGGAAGGTAAAAAGTTTTTTTTCTACATATTTTTTTGACGAACAAAAAAAAAATGAATCAATAGTTGATTCATTTGTAAGATGATTCAAAAGAAAAAATTCTCAAAAAAACATCTTTATGATTCATTTTTAAGTAAATTAAGAAAAAATTAACTTTTATGACAATTTTAGTGAATAACAACAAAATTATTATATAAATGAATCATCGAGATGTTTTTTTGAGAATTTTTTCTTGTGAATCATCTAATGATTCATTTTGTTTGTTTGCGAAAAAATATGTAGAAAAAAAACTTTTTACATTCCTACCAAAAATTTCCTTCTTATTTGATCTTGACTATATATATATATATATATATATATATATATATATATATATATATATATATATATATATTATCATTCAACGCTAAAAAGTATGTACATATACTTAGATAATGTTAATATTTTTAAATATGTTTATTTACCTCCAAGGTCACTAAGTTGAACATACTATTGAGTTTTATATGTTAAACTAAACATATTTGCATAATAGAATTAATACATGACTTGATTATGACTACATGCAACCTATAGATTAATGTATCTACACATTATAACACCATACTACTGAAACTACTACACAAATTAGTTTGAATACTAAAATAATATATTTTAATCCTTATTCAATTTAGTTTCTTTATTTGCATTTGGAGGCTTTCAGAACTCCCTGGAGGAGCCTCTAAAACCGTCCAAACAAGGAGGTTCCAGAATCCTTCATTTTCTCAACTTTTAAGCAATTGAAACTTAACCCTTTTACCTCAGATTAATTCCAATTATCCCAAAATAAATTTCTAATGAATTCAAATCAATTTCTAGTTAATTTTTTTATTCATATAATAAACTAATATATTATTTCATCTCTCTTCTAATATCATTCATAACTATTTCTTAATATATGAGCAACCCGAAAAGGACCTTACTTTTATTTATAAGAATATACAAATTTACTTAAGACATTAGACATGTTAATCCAACGTATACATGCATTTAGTCATCCCACATATAATCTCAGTGAGTGATGTTATCGGTAATTCCAATGCAGACATAGATAACATGATGATTTAATTGGAAATACTTGCGTTCTTTAAATTAAAATGGATGTTTGGGAAAGGCCTTTTCCTATTTTATGTGACCAGTAATGTGAAGCTATAAATGTGTATTACCTTTAGTATAAAGCTATAAATGTGTATTACCTTTAGCATAATTCTCAAGTGTAGTTTGAATTCTACGCTTTTTTACTTCAAAATTAAACATTATATATAATTTACATGTCTTCTGGAACAAACATTCCAATATTCTTCCACGTCCAATCGTAGTCTGCAAATTCTTATACATATTATGACGAAAATACCCATGATGGACAGTGGAAAACAAAACTAATGGAAAAGTTTATGAAATCTTACATTTTCTTTGTGAAGGCTACTTCCCTAACGTACCTTAGAGATTACTTCATCGTCATCATGAAATTGCACCAAGAATCGACATTTCGTATGACACTAAGACCAAACGTTATTTAAAGTAGTTAGAGGTTTGCACTTATAGCTATGAACATGAAGCCCAAGTACTATCCTCCTAGATGGATACAATCCACGAAGATCATCGTAGCATGATCGCCAAAAATGTATGAAGCTATAATTTTCCAACATCAATGATATCAATATTAATGATGTTACAACTATGCAAACATAATTGATATACTACAAAAGAATGTTACCACGTAACCCATAACTACAACACAGACAGTGGCAGAGTCAGACTCAAAGCAAAGGGGTATCCTAATTTTTTTTTTACGGGGTAACACCATAATGGCTGAGCATGGGAAAGGTCGGGTCAATTTTGACCTAAAACCGAACCCAAAAACTGATAGCCTCGATTTTGAAACTTTTAAATCCGAATAGAACCTACACTCACCGGTTCAGTGTTTAGATTTTCAGTTTGTACTTGGGTTTCCTGTTTTGGTTTTAAATCTAAATTTTAATCGAATAATAAGCTAACTTCAAGTCTTATTATATAAACATGAAGTTGAAGTATCGTTTGATACTTGAATCGATGTGGGACTCAAAGTAGATATCAAATGAAACATGAGGATAAAAAGTTTATATAATAGATGAAAAAAATTTAGTTTACATGTGTTTAGCGATGTGGGAAAATAAAAGATTAGAATAGCTAGAAAAATAAAAGAGATGTAAACAAAGGATTTGTAAGGAGTGAGAATTGATATTGAGACCTTTGTTTCAAAACATCATCACCTTAACTAGTAGACTAGATGTTTGTTTGTGCTTATAAGTGAAGGGATATGTACATATCCACTACATAAAACAAATCTTTTTAAAAAAAAATTATACTACCGAAAACTTTTTAAAGGGTATCCTGGGCTATCTAGGGATACCCCTTAGATCCGTCCCTGAACATAGAACTCAAAATAGTCATGCCCATCTTTTCTGATGTTTGTGAGGGTTCCGGGGTTGGTACTTTGAAGATTATATATGTAAATAAGTAGTTTGGGAAAGCTTTCATCATGTATTTAATCATTAGAACTGATAGTCAAAGTGTCATAATTCGCAGTCAACATGTTGACTACAATTTCTTCCATTTATTATGAATTGTCATTTTACTTAGGATACATCTAATACTCCACAAACCACTATGATCAACCCTCTATATAAAGTACGTATAATCAAGCAAATGGAACTATATGATTGTGGAAGTTATTCGATTGAATCTGACACATGGAATATTGTGATTTTGAAATTTTAGTTATTATAAGGACCCCGAGGAACAACAATAATCATAGAAGATGATTTTATTCTTCTCAAAACTTGTATCCTTCTTTTTCATTTTCTCTCTTTTTCTCGTTAACCCCACTCTTGTGTTTCTTAATTTCATAGGAACCATAGTGTGTGTTTATTTATTGAGTTAATGATGAAAAGGATCATAACAATTCTTTGATAATTTATAGGTTGGTTAGGTCAGTGAATGATCTAGAAAGGAAAAATAGGAACTTAAAGATATGATTAATTCTAGATAGGTTTTGTTCTTGGACGTAATTGTTTAATGGTTGTAATCTTTTGCTCCGTTTTGTTTTTAAGTGTAAGGATTATGCTTATTTGTTAGGGAATTTGGTTTTTATTATGGCAAGTTATTTAGTAGGTATTCTAATAGTAAATTTATAAGTCAAAATACTATAAAAGTACCATTACTATTGTATATTTACATGCCAAAAGTGGATATCATAAAAAATTAATATGTATTATATAACACTAAACAACATTGATTAGCCAAGATTGCATTTGTAAAATTTACCCAAAAATAGTGGCAATCTTGTCACAAAATGAATCTGATAAAGTCGGTAAATACACGTGAAAGCCCGACATCGACCATTCTAAAAAAAAAACATGAAAAGATCCCATAATGAATATAATGTCACTATTGTTGAGGCATTAAACTAATGTGTGTGTGTATATATATATATATATATATATATATATATATATATATATATATATATTATATATATATATATATATATATATATATATATAACTTAATAAGCATTTAGCCTTAAATGCTGAATTTTAAGAGGTACACTCCTTAAAGCATCATATACAACAAGTTTATGCATTACTAACAATCTTATCCCGTCAAAATTATGTGCAAAATAATCAGTCAAAGCTATCTGCAGAGAATCAGTCAAAGCTAAACCTATATTCCTCATTTTTGGCATCAATTGAATCAGTCAATAAGAAATTCGTCATCTGTTTCCTTTCTCTCCTTATCTTTGACCTTTTCTTTCCCCTTTATCTGCCTAATTTGTAGTTTATAACACATTAAACATTGGAGAATCACTATTTGAATTCCATAAACTGAAAATATACTCTCTCCAAACTCATTTAACGCTCTGTAAACCTAATCCCTCTCACAGTCGCCAACACCATCCTTACTAACCACTCTCATCCATGAATCGCTCCCTTCACATTTTCGTTAAAGACAACACCCGTGTCTAACTCATCCCCGATCCATTGATTTCTTTTCAAATCAAAGAAGTAACACCTGTTTCTAATGCAATTCATGTCTCGGAGGGTTGTGTTGGTAATGGTTGTGATGAATTCCTTCCTACTCATCCACAATTCTTTTAAAATATAGGATCCCCTTTCTCATCTGGTAAGTGAATCAGTCAAAACTGAATGGCATCCCTAATCTTCAAGCCGATTGAATCGGTCAACACTAAATATTCTTTATATTGCATCCGCTCTCAGTTTCGTACGCTCCTTCCGCTGCCTCACGTTCCAAGGTAGTTTTCTTTCATTTGAAATTTTATTTTTTATTTTTCTTTTTCGTAAGGTATTTCATTGTTATACCACCACCATTTTCTTCCCTATGTGAATCATTGTAAACCACGTCACTAACACTCCACCGGTCACCACCATACTCGCTCCGCTCTTTCATCGACCATCGCCATCATGTTCACTGCCCACAACGACCTTCACCACCGTTGTCACAGGCGGCCGCCGACAAATCCATAACCACCACCGAACATCCAGAAGCACAATTGTAGGTAATGTTTTTTGTTTTCTATTTTATAGTGGTTGAATGTTCGGTTGTTTAAAAAATCAGGAAACTCAAGAGCTTTATTGGGATGTCTAAGACCGTTGTGGTAAGAGTTTACTCTTTTGATAATGTTAAATTTTCAAAATGGAATTTTTGTTCTTAGACTTTCAGCTACTAGGGTGGTTGGTTTAACATTTTTTTTTTCTATAGTTTCTTATCAGTTTTGATACTTTAAGGGTGCATGCCAAGTGTTCGATGAAATGCATGTTGGGGTTAAGGTATTATTTTGTTTTCACTTATTTCCAACGTAGTACCTTCAAGCTGGAACCTTTTACTTACTTTGTTTACTAGCAAAAAAAAACACAAACAACCTGGATATGTTCATCATGATAGTTTCGAGGATTCACATGAAAGAGGTTTACATACAAAACAGTTATGGAGAAGTTGGATTGCATACATTAGACAAACCTAAGAAAAAGGTATTCTTTGTGAAGCTCTTTGTCCATGTGCACTCTACAAATAGGATTCAAAATAAGAATTTTGCAAACTCACATCTTCTGCATCTAACATGATTTTATTTTCAGCTGCAGTGGACTAGAAGGGATATGTAATGCTAAGTAATCATCTACCTTTGTGTTTATCACCACAATATTGGTTCTTATCTTTATCAGTATTTACATTGCATAAAAACATCATAGTTAATGTCCTAAATAAGAGAGTTTGATGGTAGGCTTTGACTTTTTTAGTCAAATGGTATAGTTTTTGAATAAAAAATCAGTTACATGTTCTTCAAAATTTTAAGAATTGAAATTTTAATTTCTTTCTAATATGCTTTGTCTCTTCTCAAACTTCTATAGCCATCATGTCTCATTTCAACTTCTTTCTGGTTAATTGTGTTTAGTGTTAACTAGATGGTTAATTTAATAATAATTTTCTTTGTAATTTGGCTCTTGTGCAGAAATTCTCCACCCAAAGGAATTATGCTTTAATTGACAAGATATTTTTAAATGCTCCATGGAAAAGCCAAGGTAATTTTCATCAACTAGTTGAATTATATATGGGTTACTGCTAAGATTTATTCTAAGTGATAATAACATTGTGTAATTGGAAGTTCTTGAGAATTATTTTGAACTGTCATGGTGCAGAGGAGTTGATGAAATTTGATATCATTGTAATTCTGTGAAATGTAAAATTGAAATGTTTATAAAACCAATGAGGTTTGTAGTGGGAAAAATGGACAAAGCAAGCTAATTGAAGGTAAAAAAAAGGACGATGATCATTTACTGGTTGAGTATAAGTTGGTAAATGTAGTGGATTTTAAGTACTGTTAGGGCAACATGATCATTGTCATGGTCGTCTCAGCCTCCTGTCACTAGATTCTTCACCACCCACCTTTTGCATGATTTTCCAAGGCACCATCGCAACCTTCTCCTTTCTCTTTTACTCTTATTTTCAAATTCAAACATTTTGTTTAGCAGTTCAATTGGCAGATGCATCAGGCAGTAACACTGATGAGCATCTCAGTCTGGATATTTGAGACTTTCAACTCGGTTCAATTGGTGAACTGGGAGGCTGCAAGACTTTATTCAACATGATGGGGGCATTTAGATCGTGAGATTAATTTTGTTGCATTTGGATTCATTAAAAAGCTTTTACAAACTGTAGGATCCACACTTTGAATGAATTAAAATCAATCTTATGTTTGTTGGGTAAGATTTGTAATAAATTAAAGATGCATTTAATCTTTTCTTCATGGGTTAAATGCTAGAAATAACAATGAACTTTCATACATTAAACTTAATTAGAAAATAATAGTAGGATATGTAAAGTAATTTACAGAATATCATCCCCATTATGTAACTTGATCTTTTTAACAAGTGTAACTTGAATGTGATTGACTAATACTTAAATAAAGCTTATTCCGATTTTGAGTAACAATGTTTTTTTGGTTTAATATGATTCAGAATAAAAGTTTATTTTCTTTAAACATATCTCATAATAGAATGTATAAGTATATATTATTTGAAAGTAGATTATTAAAACATCATTAACCTAATCCAATAAAATCTTCTTATGAAAAATAATTTTGATTTCTCCGTTATATTATTAACCAATTATTTGGCAAAAGTTTTAAACCAATTCCCTTATTTTCAAAGCTCTATTTGATATGACATCAAACTGTTAATATTCAATATATAATATGGACATTAATAAATGAATGTTTTAGATGTAGTAAAATTTTCACGCAAAAGAAATAATCATTTATAGAAACTAATTTCTGAAAAAAACTATTCACACCCGTCGCTTGGCGCGGGTAAACGGCTAGTATTTATATACATACATATATATATATATATATATATATATATATATATATATATATATATATATATATATATATATATATATATATATATATATATATATATATATGGGTTTTGGAAGCTTAAAATATTTGAAGAACATAAAACAAGTTGATATCCACTATGGATAACTTAACATGAACATATAAGATATATATGTTGGGTTATGAGCATTCTAACACTCCTAAGTGTACATGCAACCCTAAATACCTTGGATCTATGTTTTCTCTATTATACATGCAAATATGAACATCCAAGGTATTATCCTAATCTAGCATACAAAACTATCAATATAACAAGATAGAATACATACCTCTTTGATGTAGAATGTCTTCATGAAGCTTGAGTGCCTAGTGCCCAAAGTGTGACACCTCAAATGGTTCACACAACACCAAATACACTTGGAATAACTTGAGAGAATTCTACACTTCATGAAAATCGGCTAGCCCTCTCTAGAATCATACTAGTGCCGATTTTGTCAAGAATAAGATCTTTATATAGTGTTACAATTAGGGTAGACCCTAATTGTCATGACTTTCCATTTCCTTGGATCCATGGGTTCAAATACACCATGGAGCATCCATGGACCATCCTATGGGTTTTAGCCCAACTTGATTATCCATGGAGCATTAGCCCACTATACAAGTATGGATGATTTACACAATCAACCCATATATTTAATTAGTCTTCTTTTGATCACTTAATTAATCCTAGATTAATTCTTGATCAATACTAATTAAATAATCTCATTATTCTTATTATTAATATACTAGAACTTATAATATATTAATAACCATAAGTGTCTTATTTCTCTCATTATAGTCTATCCAAGTGCATGATGCCATGCAACCCAAATGGACCATGTCGGGTCGGGTCAAGTCTTACCAATTATAGTTATGGACTTAGACATTAATCCAACAGTCTCCCACTTGGATAAGTCTAAAACTATTATTGCGTATGACTTCAGGAACCAACTGGCAATCGTAGCTCTCAAAAGCTTCTGTCGAACTCTGACCTTGTCGATAAACTCTGACCTTTGTCAATGACTTGTCCATTAGATAAGGATCATATATTCCTCCATTCTAGATATCATATGGACTGAGACATGGATTATAATCATTCTCTCTGTCCATTTGTTGTTTCCCGATTTCCGATTTATGACGACTGACTAATTGAACAAATCAAATCAGTCCTGGCCCGGCCGAGCACTTCCATTTGTCATCATCAAATCATCGAGGGGCCCACAGATATCGCTTTTATCCCGAAGGTAAAAGGAATGGATAAACTTCGACTCATATGGCTTGTTCTACTACTTGTTGAATCATACACAAAGACACGTTTTATAACATCGAGTTACCAATGCGTTTTCGTGCAATCAATGTACTATCAACTCATAGTAACAACTCATATCTCTAGGTTTGAAGAATATAAGATATTATCGTCTCATGATCACTCGTGATAAAATCCATGAAGTGATTCCAATGAGCGCGGGTTGAATCCAATACTCAGAACTTATGAGCACTCATGAGTGTTGTAGCCCTTTGTCCAACACCTTAGACCTTACAAGCCAACCCATGATAGTCTTAATTCATATCTACTTCCAACATATGACCGACTGTGGATGGTTTGAATAACTTAGTCATTCCGAAGAATAACCTAGTTTATTCGGGAAGTCAAAACATGCAAAGTGAAACACAATAATAATTGAATCCAATATGGTATCAAAACCTATGAACATAAATAAAACACCTTTTATTTATCACCATATGATTACACATTATTCATTGTATACTGTTTCAGCTATCAACTTTATTCTTGAATTTAAACAATAGTTGTCCCATGCTCCAAGCATGTACACTATGTTTTCTAAACACTAGTCATGCCATACACCAAGTATGCATACTATGTTTGTCTATGATCTTTACTTTGTGAACTAGATCATTGAACATAACTTCAATGATTCTCTTTTCACACTCCCAAATCCTTACTGCAAATACAAGAATTCCAAATTCATGTCATTTACTGAAATCTGTTAGATTCTAAACTTATATGCATTGATCCTCTTGTAATGATTATGCACAAAGTCAGAAAGACTTGACAACAACCATTACAGAGCATTCCAAAGGAGATCAGCTCCTTAGAAACATCCTTCTTGCATTAAGTTTCCTAATCTTAAACAGATTGAAAATTCTAACTTTGAAACATTTCCAGATTCCATTTTGACTATCACTTCTGAACAAGAGTTGCCTCCTTACAGATTATGTCAATATGTCCTTCCAGAATTATCACTATACTTCCAATTGTCCTTGAGCAACCAATCTTTGGTAAACCTTAGATTGTCCTCGACAATTGTTTAATCCTTTTAGTCATATCCAGTTCTAAACCTTTTCCCTTCTTAATGCCCCAGGCATTTGGAAATTTTAGAAAGGATGAATATAGCACATGTAATCGATCCTATATCCGAAGCATATGGGACACGATTCATGATGTCTCACATAAAGACTAAACCAGTCTTTTGCTATAACATTTCCATTTCTATTTGCCAAGTTCTCATAATTCAGATTATGAAAAGGGATGCCGTAATCATAATCGAATTTAAGAACGCAAATAATGGACCCATATACAGAATTTCCTTATGTT